TTAAGCAATAAACTTACTGGTAGTTATAAATAACCATAAAATAAAATATACGTACCAGCATCAGTTTCATATGATGGTTGAGTCTCAGTATTCAATATCCGTGAAACTAAAATTGATTTTTTAGACGGAAAACCAAGTTTTTCTTTTACATTGTATCTGTCTTTATGTACAAATTTATGTATTGCTCTACCTGACATTCGATTATTTAGATATGTGCTGACCTTAGACCAGACACTATCTGTTGCTACAGCAACTTTTAATAATTATCAATGAATAAATATTATTATATTATTATGAGAAATTAACGTATGATAAATATACAATTGTTGTAACACATTGCACATAGATTACAGTTTGGTTAGTACACCAAATTTATTTTAATTAACTCAGTTACAAGAAAATAAATAAAATCGAGAAATCGAGAAATCGAGTGAATATATCCAATGTTGTAAACATTGGAACTTCGAACGCTTAGAAAAATTTAATTTGATTGTCCAGTAGACATTATTTTTTTGAAAAAGGTAGACTAACTTATGAGAAATACAACCTTAGATACAAAAAGGAACATTTTTATGAATTTCTAACTCAAAATTATTTGCACAAAATTTATCTTGAAATTTTGTCAAAATTCTAAATTCAAACGATACCAACAAAAAAAATTACTGTGGATTTATGCTGAAATTTTTTTTTAATTTCTTCTTTAAACAACTAATAAAGAACCTTGTGTTAAGTGTTCAATTTTTTTGACCTAATACAAATGATTATATCGACATTAATTTAAAAAAAAAAAATTGAAAATGATATACTTATAAATAGCTCAACATGAGTCAACATTTTATAGTGTATATAAAATGTTATTATAAACATCCAGTGAACATCTCATGTATCTATGGTAATTTTTGTAATAACAAGAACACCAAGAAACAAATTGAATTTTGTCAAAAACCGATTTTGCTTAAATATCCCGTTTTTCTTAATTTTTTTTTAGTTTTTCCCAGTGCTTTTGAAAACTACTCGGAATTTAAAATACACCCACTAGATTCATTTTCCCACCAGAAAAGATACTGAAGTTGAAAATTGAATTATTTTTTTATTATAAAAATGAAATTTCAAATTTCAAATATACACATAATAATTTTAAATATTTTGTGATTTTGACGTTCAAAGTACAAATAAGATGAAAATTAACAACAGAAATCAAACTTCAAAGTTATAGATTAAAGATTTGTACTGCTCCAAATTTATACGATACACAAAAAATAAAAAAACACTTTTTAAAAAATAATATTACATTAAAGTGATGAAAATTTCAGAGATTTAATATTCAAGAAATTTCTAAGGTAGAAAATCATATGGAAAATGTTCTAAATTTAAAAATTCTATTTTATTTTTTATTAGAGCTTATTTTTGACTTAAGGAGTGTAGAGAAATATATTTTGGATTTTGAATTATATTTCATAACATTATAAATAATCTAAATAATCTGTACACATTTTATTCATTTAAATATTTTGTTTTTAATCATAATTAATAAGTAAAGAGGTAATGGAAATATTTAATATTTGCTCGTTAGTTAGCTTACGCATTATTGCTATTTAATCGCAACAAAATTATTATAAATTAAAAAAAAATTATTTTTTTTCTTGCAAATGTCCTATTTACATCACTAGTTAGATACACATAGTTACGATAAATATTAGGTAATTGTACTTACTAAAATTCAACAATGATAAAATTAATGTTCAGAATAATGTAATGTATAAAGTTATGTTTTAATTATAAAATAAATACATTATACGTAGAATATAAACAATGTAGATAATATTTAAATAATAATTTGTACTTCCTCTTTTCTCCATTATTGTTAATTACTACTTCATCCTTATACAATAATACGGCATCAACAACGATCGTTGGAGCTACAGCTCCTTTTCGTCCACCTATTGAAAAGGCGTTAGGAATAACAATTATTTAATATAACTATTAATGTAATCGATATTCGATTCTATGAAGATTCTAAGAAGCTACCACATTGACCACAGAATTGTGAATGAAGTATAAACGGTATAAGGACAGTTATTCTTAAATTTTTTGAATGAATATTGGAATCACATAATTATATATTTGGATATAAATAATTAAGGAGTGTATTGAAGAAAATATTGAACCATTGGTTATTAATAAAAATAGAACCATAAAGTCAAACACTACAGAGTGTGGAAACGAAAAGGACAATTTTCGTATATAAATATATAGGATAATCACCGTTATGTAATATACCCACCCTGTATATTACAATATATTGTATACGGAAAGAGTATATAAATAGTGCTGCTATTTAATTATTAAATTTTTAATTAAAGTAAATTACTCACAAGTTTATAAGGGTCGGGCTTAATGCGGTAATTTCAACTGTATTTTATTTGCTGACCCAGCTCTTTCGGTCACGTAGACCATCTTGAGAACCGAATCACACACTCGACTTAGTCCGAATCAACACATTTATCTCTATATATGTATTACATACATACACATATCGCCCGCCGCAGCGAAAAAGGTCGTATCTCACTTTTTTTCATTTTTGAGTTACGACCGTATTCGAATAAAGAATAATTTTTCTTACTACCCACAAAAACGGTCGTATCTCTAGCTATCCAAAGAGCTTAGAAAAACAATTTTATTAAAATTCACCGACAATGTGATTACCAACGAAAACAGTTGTATGTTTAGATACGACTTTTGATAAGAAATATTACCCGCGAAAAACGGCGTATCTCATATCACAAATATAGTCATTTGAATTGTTATTAATATTTTGTACTTAATATTTAATTGTGAGTAGCTTACATTAGGCGTGTTTTGGCGGAGTAAACTGTTTAGTAAATAAGTTTATGGTTATGGAATACGGTTAGAAAACGTTTACTGGAACGCCAAAACAATTGCTTGAACATTTTGTTTACTGAAATATTTGATAAAATTTGATATCATAAACTTTTTAGTAACCGAACCTCAGTAAACCTTCTTACCAAGAAGAAATCGATGGTTACAAAATTCACTAAACTCGTTCACGAAATTAGTTACCTGGTTACATTGACCGTAATCGCGAAAACGATACCAGTAAACAGTTTACTAGCGGTTAGCGCCGGTTACACTGCCAAAACACACCTGTTGCTTATAAGCTTACTACTTTTACTTAATGACTAAAGAGTCAATCAAGAACCAATTAGGTACAATAGGATATTAATAATACTGGATACCTATGTTTATGGGAGTATGAGTAGTGATCCCGATGAGGATAATGAGATTAATAATATTTGTAATATCCCAATACTAGATCAGGAAATATTAATATAACTAAAATATTATAAAAATGTATTTTGTTATTCTTAGGTAATAATAATAATATGCTTATAATTTATATTATTATTATACTGATTCTTTGGGGTTTAGTAAGTTCCCACATGAAACATAGCAGGTAAGCTGGTACATATGTTAGTTCCCTCACGGAAAAAAATACACCCATACGTAAGTTCAAACACGAAAATTTATTCGGACTTAGAACTGACAGCTTAAACGTAGTTGGTCTAAATATATAATAAAAATTAATAATATAATGTAAAGGTATAGTCCACTTATTATTTGTACTTTCGCGAGCGTTTGTAGTATCAAGACTTGTATCAGAACTAGCACTAGCCCAAATACTAAGGGGAAACTATATCAATAACAAAATATCAGATTACAACTTAAAAATAATTACATAGTATGACTATGTGAAGGGTTTGAGCTTTCGCAATAAGCCAAATAAAATTTAATATTTTCTATTACTATTATTATAATTATTATAACTATTATTATTTTATACCTACTTAAACAAATAATATGAGGACCATACCTAGTACCTACACATTATATTATTAATTTTTATTATATGTGTGGACTAGATTTAATTAAAAAATTGATTGTACTTTTTTTATGAAACACAAAAACGAACAGATTTTAACCAAACCAACTACATTTAAGTTGTCAGTCCTAAGTCTGAATAAAATAGGAAGGAAGTTTGTATTTGGTGTAATTTTTTTTTCGTGTGGGAACTTACGTATGCATACCCGGGTGTGATTTTTACCTGCTATATCTCGTGTGGGAACTTACTTTCGCCCGATTCTTTAACTACAGGACTACTAACTACTTGAGGATAGTGGTTCAGATATTTATGATAGCGACGAAGACCCAGAATACACCCCTCAATTAGACAATTTAAGTGTAGTCAATAATGATAATACTTTTGTAAAGGATGACTATGGAGTTGGTGATAATGATAATATAAATTATGTAAATTATCCAAAATCTTATTAGTATTTAATAATAATAATATATTATATTAAATTATTAGTAATAATGGTAAAAATAAGTAAACAAATAATTTTTATAATAATATTATTATTATGTAGTTATTGTTGAAATATACAATTAATATGTAGTATATGTAGTCAGCCTTGACACGTGTGTACAATATAGTAACTAGTTATGTACGAGCATAAGACTCACTCTCTTTACGGATGTAACATGACCTCGGTCGTGCATATATATAGGGCCTTTGATGTATGTAATATTCACTTGCACAGGCGTCGTTGTACAGAGCGTATACGATGTGTGTGTACTGTCACAGTTTAATTGTCCAGTTGTACGTTATTATATATTATACTTATACATAATCACATTGTCGTGTTATTACTTATTATATTAATGCTAACATCATTAGTCCGGCAAGCTTCACTTTCAACAGTTATGAATTCATAATACTTTTGTTATTTGTTAATATTTATTTAAATTATTTGTTAACACAATATTATACTAATAAATAATATAATGTATTATTATATTTTAATATTATCACATTGAAAGGTACCTTTTTTAATATTTTATACATTTTGTATTTTATTTTGTTATGGTAGAACCCTAGTAATGTTGTGGATGTTCCAAATAAAAAAATAAAACGTGTTATGACTCCCAGTGTAAAACTTCAGAGGAAGCGTCTGAAAAAAGTTCCTAGCTGGAAGGATGTTAAATCAAAAAAAGAACTAAATTTAGGGTTGGATCATAATAATAGATCAGGTAAAAATAAAAGTGCAAAAACCATGGGTCTACCTTGTAAATGCAAGATGAAATGCTTTGATAAAATTAGTGATAATATAAGGAAAACAGTATTTGATGAATACTGGGGTTTGGGAGACCATGTCCGACAATGGGATTTTATATCCAGATGTGTAAGGATAAAAGAAAAGAAAGTAGCAACCACGTCATCAAATTCACGTAGAGCATTATCCAGAGAATATTATATACCCATTAACTTCGTCGAAATAAAAGTGTGTAAAGTGATGTTCTTAAACACAATTTCAGTAACTGAAAAAATTATTAGTACTGTTTCTAAAAAACTGAATATGTCTCCTGTAATAGAACATGACATGAGAGGTAAACATACAAATCGACCACATGTGATTGGTACAACAGTAATTGATTTCATTAAGGAACATATTGCAATGTTCCCAACAGTTGAATCACATTTATAGAAGAGCCACATCTCAAAAGAATTATTTGGAAGCAGACTTAAGTGTTGCAAAAATGCATAGACTTTATTCGGTTTGGGTTAAAGACAAAACTCTTTGTGTCAAGGCTCAAAATGCTACAGTCAGGCAATACACAGACATATTTAATACTTATAACTTAAGTTTTCTTAGACCAAAAAAAGACTTATGTGACAAATGTGAAGAATTTAAACTTGATAGTGAGGAAGAAAAATTGAAACTTCAACCAAGCCACGATGAACATTTGACAAACAAAAATATAGCCAGATATAATAAAACTGTAGATAAAGAGCGAGCAGCTAATGATCCAGAATTGTGTGTTGCGGTATTTGATTTAGAAAAAGTATTAACCACACCACAAGGTGAGGCCAGTAACTTTTATTACAAAAGGAAGTTTGCCGTTTACAATTTTACGGTATATGATATTGTTAACAAAGTTGGTTACTGTTATATGTGGGACGAATGCGAATCAAAAAGAGGTTCCAATGAAATTGGAACTTGCATGTTAAAATTGATGAAGGAGAAGGGTTTCAAAGAGTTTTGTTTTTACTCAGACAACTGTGGTGGCCAGAATCGCAATCGTTATATTTATGCGATGTGGGAGTACGCGGCCTTTACATTTAAAATAAAAATTAGTCATACATTTTTAGAAAGAGGTCATACCCAGAATGAAGGTGACAGTATGCACTCATGTATTGAACGTTCAAAAAAAGGGAAATCGATTTATGTTCCTGCCCAATGGATTACTCTAGTAAGGTGTGCTAAAGTTACAGGCAAACCTTATATAGTATTTGAGATGGACAATACTGAGTTTTTGGATTTTAAGCCTCTTGTCGAAGAAAATGGATTTAATTTTAAAACAACCTGTGATGGTGACCTAATAAGGTGGAACAACATAAAAGAAATCAAAGTGTCATTTGAGACTCCATTTGAACTAAACATTAAATATGATTTCAATTCTCCAGACTTTATAAAGATAAATTTCATAAAACAAAAACAAAGGGGGGGGATTTCAAAAGCATAGTATACCTGAAAAAGCGTATGCTCGCAAATTGCCAATAGAAAAAGCCAAACACAAAGATTTATTATCACTATGTTCTATGGGACTTATACCATCCACATACCATGATTTTTATAAGTCTCTCCCGTCAAAAGAAATATAATATTCTGTATACAAAAAAGACTAGTTAATATTAAACGATTAATAACATTTTATACTTTTGTTTATATTATACTTTGAGAAAAAGGTTTTTTAAATTGTTTTTGTTTTAATTTTGTTATAGCTTTATATTGTTTTAATGTTTTGTTGTTATTATAAATATTATAATGCTGCTATTACTTTTATTTTATTTTATAAACAATTAAGACTACCTACTACTAGACTTAACTGTTTAATAATATTTAATATTTATATTTCAGTTTATAGTAAAATATTTAAAAAAAAGGTTTTTTAAGTTTTTCTGTTTATATTTACTATTACATTTTATTATTATACATTGTTTTGTTTTTTCCACATTTTTTGATATTATTTTGTGTAACACAATATTGTCAACACTAATACAATAAAAAATGATATTATTGTATATTGATTATAAAATAGGTACAGTGTTAATACAGTATTTATAGTCAATGGTAATATAGGTACAGTAATATACTAATAATATGACAGGTCATAAGTCTTTGGGGGGGGGGGTCTTTGCCGATATAGTCCCCCTAAATTCAATATTAAAATAATGTAGGAAACGGTAAAATTTATGACTTATTATAAAATATTAATATAATAAATTATAATATTATTACTATCATAAATTATTCATATAAATTTCCAACGATAAACATCGTAAGTATAGATACGACTATAAAGTCATATAAATTTCCAACGAAAAAAGTCGTAAGTATAGATACGACTAGGTACAACTTCGTTCTAAAGGTCGTATCCAGGGCTTGAAACCGGTTTTGAATACCGGTTAAAAAGTTTAAAAGACCGATATCGAAATCAAAATCGAAATCGAAACCTTAAAAATACAATACCGGTATTCAAAATTGAAAACAAAATCGAAAAAAATCAATACCGGTTATTAATATCGAAATTGAAACCTAAAAATACAATACTGGTATTCAAAATTGAAAACAAAATCGAAAAAAATTAATACCGGTTATTAATATTGAAATGACGAAATCTTAAAATATTCAAAAGAAAAAAAAACAGAATCAAATATTTTAAAATCGTAAAATATAACAGCACACTGCTCAAAACTTAAACAAAATGGTATACTTAATTTATATTAACATAGCATTTTATCATATTGTGTACTAAATATATTGTATTTCCTATATTAGCTTTTTGATGTATTGGCTATTTACAACATGAGAAAAGAACAAATTTTTACAATTACATGTGATAACGCTTCAAACATGGTTAAGTTAAGTAAAATTGTAAATATGAATGATGAATGTGAAGCTGAAGCACCACATATTGAAGAGGATTTGATTAATTTTGTGGATTCAGAAGAAAATGAGAGTGATGATGAATATGCCATTGAAGACGGAACATTACTATCATCAAATGATATAGTAAATCAACTTTTCAATGAAGAAGTTGGTTTTTAAAACATAATAGTATTTTTTATTTGTTTTTTTCTGTTCGTGATTCAAATAATAATATATTGTAATTTGATTTATATATAGATAACTTACAAGAAATTATTGTTGCTGCTATGGAACCTAAATCTATAACATCCTGTATACTCTACATCTCTGTACACTCATTACAATTGTGTGTACTTGGTGGTATAAAATCAGCAGCCATATCTAATTGCATTCCCAAAGCTAGAGAGGTAATTTTAAAATATCTATTTCTTATCTTCCATTTTCTTAGTTATTTAATACATAAACATTTTATTTTATAGATTGTAAAGAAACTAAGAACTCCCAAGTATGCATGTTGGCTGAAAAGGAAAAATTTAAAATATGCAATTATCGATATTGAGACCAGACGGAACTCAATGTATAACATGCTCTATAGGTTATTAGAACTCAACGAATTCTGTTTGTCACTTGAGGAGACTAACCCAGACCTACATGTTAAAAATTGTGAATGGGACTCTATACAAAGTATTTTTAGTTAATTATTTAATTATATTAATTTCTAAAATATTAATTATCTTCTTTTAATCATAAATATACTTATTTTGGGTGCCAAATTAATCTGTTTATAATATATATATATATATTTTTTTTTTTGGTTTATAAATGTATTCTGTAATTACTTGCACTTGTTAATTTTTAAAAATGTTATTCAGGTAAATGCTTATCCAGTGAAAACTGCAACACTTGCATTGCAAAAACAAAATTTAACAATTGGTGATTTTTATGCCATCTGGTTAAAATCCACTCATGGGTTGAACGCAAATGGATCCATATTAGCCAAAAAAATAAAATCTTTGATGGATAAAAGAATTCAGGAAAATTATTTATCAAACAGCACATTTTTAGCAGGTACCTAATACATCAAATTATAATTAATAATTAAACATACATAATAACAATAGATTCATATATTGTTTTAGCGATTTTTGTTGATCCTCGATACCAGTGTTTATTAACTCCTGAACAACAACAAATAGCTATAACTCGTCTTGTCGAAACATGGGAGACATTACTTCTCTTAAAGAATAGAGACTCTCCTATTGACGAATTTCCAGAAATTACCGGTAAAAAATGAATGCATATTAATTATTTACTCAATAAAAATGTTAAAATTGTTTAGTTGTTAAATGTTTTAAATATTTAAGAATTCTAACGGACTAATACATTAAATAACTTCCTGGATAAATTATTAACAATTTTGTTTTAAATACATCACTGCAGGTGATATGAATATTATTCTCATATAAACTAAATATAAAATAATGGAAATTCTGAATAAATCATGTTGATATTTTATTTTATTGGACATTTAAATAGGAATAAATAAATTTTTACTTTAAAAAAAATATGCTGATTTCTAGAATAATCTGTACAATTTTATATAATACAGTTATTTGTTAAGTAAAGTAGTTGAGTTAATCCTGTATTAAACTTTATATTCAGCTAATGATAAATCAACCATTGAGAGTACTATTGAAAGTAGCCAAGACTCAACAGATGCATTTGAAGAGTTTTTATCATCACAAGCTTCTCTTACATCAAATTCATTTGCCTCGTCCTTAACAGTAACTTCTGAAAGTATATTAAATATATTGAATGGTTTTAAAAATGTTGAGCGCATTTCTTATACTGCCGATATTTTGCAATATTGGAAAACACGACAATTAACAGATCCAGAACTTTATCAATTAGCAAGTGTAGTCTTAGCAGTTCCAGCGACTCAGGTTTACATGATTATTTATGTTTTACCTTATGATAATATTTATTTTGTGATTATATTTGAACTTCTACAAGTTGTACTATTACATTTTCAGGTCAGTGTAGAAAGGAGCTTTTCTGGATTGAAATTTGTTGTTTCTGATTTGAGAACCTCATTGGATCCAGAACTTTTAGAAGCAATCATTCTGATTAGAAGCAATGAAAAATTTAAATTATGTCATTAAATGATTAAATTGTATTGTTATTTATGTTTAAGGTTTTATTTTAATAAACTTATAAAGAAAACAATTATTTTGTGTGGCCCTACACAATTTTATCCAATAGTAACTAATATAAAATGTTGTACAAGTTGCCAAAATTACTCTGATATTGGAATTTCTTGGAATTGTATATATATGACTATATATATATATATATAACTTCTAGATGGTAAAACAAATTTGTCAAAGGCTAATTTAGACTATTTAGTATGACATATGTTATGTATCTGCTATTCATTAATAAGAAATCAATTTCATAAATTAACTGTTAAAATTATAAGTTTAAAATCTAATATGAATACATTCATATCTTTTTGAATTGTTTTAAGTAACATTTTAATCAATTATTATTATTTAAATTTTCACTAAAAACTCATAAGAAAAACTTAATAGGTAGATACTGATATAATTATATAATAATAGACAATAGTGTATAATTATAATAATTTGTTAAAACTTACATATTTCCTAAACATTTTAAGACTGAATTTAATAAAAAACTATTATTTGGCTGTATTGATGCAACGATTAATAATTAAAGATTAAGAATTAAGATAATATTCTGTATTAATATTTAGAATTTAGATACCCTAGTCCATAGATGGCATAGTAACCTAAGTACCTAACCATACTATATTACTCATTATAGTAGTCATTATTAAGTACATACTTAATATTATTATTACTTATTAGTAATGACTAATGACTATAGTATTTAATCAAGAAGCTTTTATTGTTTAACAAATTTTAGTCAAAAAGTAGGGTGTGAAATTGATTTCAATACCGAAATCAATATCAACATTTTAGTAAATTAAAACTGATTGAATATTGACTCAAAATTTAAATAAAAAAAAATTTTAAATCGAAACCGAAACCGAAGTTTCTCAATACCGGTATACAAAATCGAAACCGAAACCGAAATGTCCTAATACCGGTATTGAAAATTGAAACCGAAATCGAATATTTTCATAACCGATATTCAAAATCGAAACTGAAACCGAATATTTTCAAAACCGGTATTCAAAATCGAAACCGAAACAGAAATTATTTCAATCGGTTTCAAGCCCTGGTCGTATCTAGTTAAAAAATAGGATCATGTGATATTTTTAAAAAACAATAACATAATATTTAGAGTCAGCTAATTGGTGATAGAAAATTATGCATACCTACCAAAATTTTAGAAATTAAAACAGAATTAGAATTTATATAACCACCATAGTTTTGCTCCTCCTGAAAAGTTGATAAAATAGAGTTACGACCTTTTTCGCTGCGGCGGGCGATATATACATACATATATCGTCGGCCTAATTCGCAGAAGTCGTATTTCCATTTTTTGTCATTTTGGGACAATTTACTCATAAAATAAAGAAAAAAAAATTGCGTCTGTTGATACAATCAAATTTCCGATTTCATAATATTATCCTCCATGAAATTGATAATTAGAAATCGTCGTATCTCCAATTAATAATATGGCCGTAAAACGTTTTTTTCTTCTCCTGAACAATTTGTAATTTTGGACATACGACCTTTGCGAATTAGGCCGACGATATACATATATACATACATACATACATACGCACATACGCGTGCATGCATATACAACATACCCCCAGCGTTAAACTGGAGCAGTCCCTGCGACCTTATTTACTACTCCATAAATTTCTTACACTACAGGTACACCTAGTTACAATACCGCCACATGGTGTCTATAATGCTTAAACTTAATTTATTCTACACTTAAGGCAATACAATTTTTTTTTTTATACAAACTTAAGTGTTAACTTGTTCATTGTTTGGAATATTATCCGCTACCTCTGGACTATACATTTTTATGACCTGGTTCTTAAACTTAACAACGACTATACTTATGGTTAGAGTTATGAGTAATATGGATATGTACATAACTGTAAAGTGAAATTCGACTTTGAATATAAATTGAGGTTCCAATGACTTACGTTGGAGGTTATTTAATTCGATTGCTTTATGTGCTAAAGAGTTTAGATTTTTTATTGGGTTTAAGTTTGAAACATTTTGGGGTAATACAGATGGTAGAATCTCTGCTAACAGAGAGATTACACTGACCTTTGGATTTTCTGGGATTACGTCTGCTTGTACATTTCTAACGTTTTTATTTAACGGTACGAGTACAGAATTTTCAGTAAAAATTTCCCATGACAATGAGGTGGTCAACCTACCCACGCCCGAGATCTCCACGGTATAGCTTTGTAGAGGTTCTAAACAGGTAATCGTACACGTGTGTGGTTGTGCATAGTACAAACAAGAATTGGTTTTTGACAATCGATTCCTAATGGGTGTGTCTAATGTTACAAATTTAATTTTACAATTTCCTAATTTATTTTGCTAGTTAGATAACCGTGAAATTTCACACAAGCTAGATCCCGTTCGGCGGTGTATTGGTTGATCACCCTTACAAAGAGTGTATAATTCTAGCCTAATACATAGTTCCCATTGAATTAATTCTAATACAAAAAAAATGTTCATTATTATTACTTAAAGCAAGGTAGTCGACTTCAGGGTCAATTAAAATTACTGTATCTCTGTCGTATGGAATGGGCAGAGAAATGGGGTGATACATGGTATATCCTTCGTTACTTATCAGAGGAATACCTATGGCAAATACTAAGTGATCGTCTCTATGGAAAATTGCTATTTCCGAGATTCGAATAAGCTCTGTTAGAGGTTCGGTGTTTACTACTAACGGGAGGGAGGTTCCTACTGGAAGATTCATTTTTATTTCCCTTAATTCTGTGAGTAGTTTGCTCGAAGTGAATACACTGGTGTGAATCTTGCCATCCAGGGCAGAGTTAACTATGGCAATAGATTTTGGGTTTCGTAGGCATTTATATTGATTTAATATAACCTCAAACAGGAACGATTGTTCCAGTAACCTTGACATGAATTCTACCTTATTGAGCTTCTGGATGATCTGCTTCGCTTGTTCTTGTAAAAACTGACAATTTTCCTTGAGTTTCTGCTGGTGTTTAGACAGTTGCTTCATTTGATTTTCTGTTTCCGCCTAAACGATTCTAGTCCTTTCCGGAATTAAGTTAAAATCCTTGATTTTGCTCTCGCTTAATGCCACGATTTTATCGAAAATAAACTCCGTATCGATCTTTGAATATATACCATATAGAAAATTCGTCATGCGTTGAATTTTGCGGCCTAATCCTCGACGCGTTCTTACCCCCTCTGAAGAATTGTAGCCAATTGATACCATCATGTTGCGATGATTGGCCTCAATTTCATACATGTAAGGTAACGTTGCACGGGCAAACGTCTGAACGAACTGATCGCAGGTGGGCAATAACTCTCAGAATCGCTCGGTCACCTGCTTACAGATCTCCACGGTATCTTCATACCGTGACTTTATTACCGAAAATTTAGAAGTTGGAGTTGCTAGGTCAATATAAGCTACTAGATCCCAACTGAGGCGAGTCACTTTTACTGGACCATGGTGTTTGAAATATAACCCCTGATGGTTTGGAAACGACGTGATGTTATAAACCTTATTGACTGCCTCTAATTGCCGTTCCGGTTTGTTTTCCATTTGCCCAGTGCTAAGCACACTGAATTGAATGAAAGTTCTGCAACGATATTCGTTATTGTTAATAGAAAATTTCTCTTAACCTGAAAGATTTATGTACAGCACCGCATTCCTTACATCTAGGTTAGTTTTAGCATTGTTAACTTAATGTTAATTTTATCACGTATTTACAATGATCAGTCCACAAAAGGACGGATAAGATTTTTGTGTACTGTCACCCTCCTTCTATCCTTTTGCAATGTTACATTTTCATTTGCTTTAAGCTCGATGAACTCATAAAGTCCCATTCATTTAGGACTAAGTTTCCCTTTTCGAGCGTTGTCTTTAAGGAGTACACGATCTCCCACGTGAATGATGATCTGATTCATGATTTTCCATTGGACTAGCCATGGAGAATTTCGTGAGGTCACACTGCATTGTTAAGATGCAGGCATTATTGCTATGTGTTCTCGGTAAGGGCCCGACCACGTCGATAAATACATTCTCGAAAGGTTCGGTGGCCGTGGTACTTATGACCATTGGTTGCCTGACGTTCTTGTTACACGTTTTGTTTATCTGGCATGATGGACATTTGGACACATATTCCTTCACATTATCTTATAATCATTCCCAGTTAAATTGTGTTTGAATGCGCTTTACGGTGTGGTTTATACCGCGGTGTCCTTCTAGTAGGCTGGAATGATGCTCTGCGATGATCTCTAGTTTTTCCGCGTGTGTTAACTCTGTTAGAGAATAAACATGGATTTTGATATCTATCTCCTTAAATACAAACCGAATCATGATCCGGATAGCAGACCAATCAAGTTGGTCTAGTCCACTGCCAATACGGGAGTTTTTTTTTTTTTTATTTTGCATTGCTAGTTTGTCAATATTGAGCTCGATGCACACCGATTTGAGGCTATGTAAAGTCAGGAACATATCCTCCAAAGATGGTTTTTGCCAATATTTTTGTTTCGTTACCATATACAGGATGTACCAATTTTCTTGACGACTGTACAACACTTCATGGACTCTGGGGTGTTGACTTTTTAAAATCTCCACATTGCCAAATTTCCTGCGAAACATGAGGTCCGTGCCCTGGCTCATTTTCACGTCCTGGGATATGCAATGTGCGAGGCTGTAGTCTGATGGTGCGTCGAATAAATCTCCTGATTCCTCTTTTACCCTATTATTGACTATTGACTTGCCTTTTATTAGTTGCAAGTAGGCATCATAACTAACTCGGGTAACTGGGTTAAATGTTCTGTTCATCATGATTCGCCCCATACGGCTGAGTGCATCTGCATTTGTGTTTGCGGCACCGGGTTTGTAGACCACTTCGTACTGATATTCTGAAAATTTGATTCTCCACCGCATGAGCCTGGATCCAGGATCCTTAACATTAAATAGCCACGTAAGTGGCTAATGGTCTGTGTAAATCTTGAACTGTCTGCCCAGTAGGTATGGTCTAAAAGCTTGACTGACCACACGATGCTGAGTAGTTCCTTTTCCGTGGTACTGTAATTTTGCTCTGCCTTGTTCAGCGTACGAGACGCATATGCAATGGGAAGATCTTGCCCTATTTCCCGGCCTTGTGAGATAACACTCCCGATTGCATACTGACTCGCATCGGTTGTCAGAATAAATGGTTCCTCGAAGTTTGGTATACTGAAGTATTGGAGCTTGAATGAGTTTCTGGATGAGCATCTCAAATGCTGCCTGGCATTCTGCAGTCCACTCAAAAGGTTGTCCCTTCTTCAATAGGGTTGTTAGCGGCTTGGCTATCTGGCTGTATTTTTCTATGAACCTTCTATAATATCCAGAGAGTCCTAGAAATTGCTTTATTTCAGTTGGGTTCGTTGGTACCGGGTGATCTCGAACACAACTGATTTTTGCCAGGTCTGGTTTTACACCGGTATCCGTTATCAGATGCCCAAGGTAAACTACTTCGCACCTGAGGAATTGACATTTGCTTGGCTGGAGTTGGAGGTTGAATTTTTGAAGCCGTAAGAATACTTCTTCTAATCTGCTCTCGTGTTCGGGAAGATCCGCTGCATAGATAATTATGTCATCTAAATATACAAACGCCTTGATGCCGTTAAGTCCTGCTAATGCAGTGTTCATAAGACGTTGGAACGTACTGGGTGCTCCACACAACAAAAAGGGCATACGGACAAATTCAAAATGGCCTTTGTCCGTTGAGAATCCCGTCTTCTCACGATCTTGTAGTCGAATTGGTACTTGATGGTACCCACTAGCGAGATCTAGTGTGGAATCATATCTGGAACGTCCTAGTTGGTCCAGGATCTCATCGATCCTTAGAATTGGGAAAGCGTCTCCATTGGTTAGTTTATAAAGTTGCCGGAAGTCTACGCAAACCCTGAATTGTGGTTTCCCGTTCGCGTCAGGTTTCTTAGGTACTACGACTAGAGGTGCGTTCCACGGCGATTCTGATGGTTGCATAATATTATCATCTTAAATTTTTTTCATTTGTTTATGGATTATGACCTGGCGGTGAGCGTAGGGAAGTCTATATGGCCTGATGTTTAGAGGAGCCGTTTCCACAGGAACCTTAATCTCATGCTGGATCGCTGTGGCGAATGGAAGAGGCTGGCCGTCCAAATGGAATAATCTTTGATACTTCCTACACACTCGAAGCAGGCTAGCTCGCTCTTCATGATTTAGATGGTCTGTGTGAATTACCTGAGATATGTCCGCTATGCAGTCTTCCTTATTTATACTGTCTTCTGATTTCGAACATAAATATGTGCTCGCCCCTTCAAAATGTCATACTGTACACTTTCTAGCTGAGGTGGTGTGAATTCATCGGAATCACTTGATTGATTTATCACTGACACTAATATTTGGCCGTTTTCCACCGTATTGAGGGCATTTCCTAACAGGATACTACCCTCACCAATGTTTTGCGCGTGAAATATTAAGGCTGTGCCGTTTTCCTTGTCCGCTAAGATAGGTATAAGGCCCGTTTCACATGAACGCGTATCATACGCGACGTATCGTACGCGCGCGTTTTCCATTTTACATTGATTAAGTTCATACGCGCCAAACCGGCGAGGGAAACGCGCCATCGTCGGAGTGGCGCGTATGAATTTGACCAATGTAAATTAAAACGCGCGCGTACGATACGTCGCGTATGATACGCGTCCATGTGAAACGGGCCTAAGTGTTTCCGATCTCGGCTGGATAGTCAAGATTATTGGAGAAACCACGGACTCTGGAGGTTCTGGACTTGCTAGATTTTCTGGATTTCCTGGATCTTCTGTTGATAAACTGGAGTTTCTGAAATTGATACTGATGTCATTGTCCTTTAAAAATGGCGCGCCTAAAATTCCCGATTCCTTAATCGGAAAATTGTCGTGAACCACTAGAAATTCGGCATCTGTCTGCTTTGTCCCAAGTTGAACTTTTAAAGTAACCGATCTAGCTGGTTGATAGTCATGGGGTGGATGAGTAATGTTTAGGCAGTACCCAGCATTATTCAAAAACCTGTTCTGCACTCTGTCAAGTCTAAGTATATCACCAACGGTATACGGATCCCAGACAATAGAACCATACTCTAGTACCGAGCGTACTAGCGCACAATAGAGCACTGAGAGACATTTTGGAGAATTGAAACTCGCAGAATGTCGTCTAATAAAACCAAGTATGCGCACAGCTTTGCCTACTATGTGATCAATGTGAGGACGAAAATCTAAAGATGGGACAAAAAGGAAACCTAAGTCAATAATTTTGTCAACACGATCCAGGTGTAGACCATTGAGAGAATAGTCAAACATTATAATATTTCTAGTACGATAGAATGACATAACTTTGCATTTGGTATTATTTAGGGAGAGCCCAACAATGTCGCACCAGATTGTTAGTTTTACCAGAATTCTTTGAAGTATTTGACAGTCTTCCGTGGACGACACTGTGTGGAATATCTTAGCATCATCTGCAAATAACAGGACCCTCGCTGGAGAAATGACCGAGCAAATAGAGTTAATAAATATATTAAATAGCAGGGGGTCCAGATGACTACCTTGGGGAACACCTGATAAAACTTTAAATGATTTAGATTTCATACCAAATAATTTAACAAATTGAACTCGATCAGACAGATAAGATCTCAACCAGGTTAGGAGTGGGTCACCAATTCCTAACCGATCCAAGACATATATCAGTGTATTATGATCAATCGAATCGAAAGCTTTTGAGAAGTCTGTGTAAACAACGTCAACTTGCCGCCTAGCTGAAAAAGCATCATGTACAAAAGATACAAAATCAATTGCACTAGTAGATGTTGACCGACCAGGAAAAAATCCGTGTTGGTCAACCGAGATGGTTGACAAGAGTGGACGCTGGATACGCTTCAGAACAATCGATTCAAACATTTTCCCTAAGAATGGTAGACCAGAAATAGGCCGATAGTTAGTGACATCAGTAGGGTCCCCCGATTTTAGAATAGGTGTAACACGGCTACATTTCCAAACGGAGGGGAAGATTCCTTCTGCTAGGGATTTGTTAAATATCGAACAGATCGGCAAAGTGAGATGGTTTCTACAACGATACAAAAAGATGGCTGAAATACCATCAGGTCCGGAACCCCGAGTAGTAGCAAGTGATTCAAGAGCAGCAGACACCTCGTCAGGGGTAATTGTTATTGAGGATGGGAGAAACGAAAATTGCTCTGTAGTTATCAAGTTCAATTGAGAATCAGATATCACCCTAGGTTTAACATAAACCGAGGAAAAATAAGAAGCGAACAGATCTGAAACTTGATCACCGGAGGCACTTATGCTATCGAGATGAACTTTCTCCGGAATATTCTGACTACCTTGAGCCTTACGGGCATAGTCCCAAAACGAGCGTGGATTGTTACACAACTGCTCTTGCATTTTACACGTATAGGCTCTGTACTGCTTTTTTGATTCAAATTTACATTGAGCACGTAAAAGAGAGAAACAACGGTAATTATTAAATCCACCAAATGTTTTAAAAATTTTATGGGCCTGTTTCTTTTTGACCAAAAGATCCTTGAGGTTCTTAGTTACCCAGGGTGGAAAGGATGAGTTACGAAAAGTGAGCAAAGGTACACAGTGATCAATGACATGCAAAAGTGAGTTCTGTAAAAACTTAGCTGACTGCTCTGTCGTTAACGACGATAAATGATGAGCCCAGTTAATATTTCGTAAATCATCGTTTGCCTTAACATAGTTACCATGTTTGAAATCGTGAAAAGAATGACTATTATTAAGGACAGGGATATCTAAGGGACATGTGCAGGATATAGTAAGCGCTGGATGATACATATCACAAGGTAAGAGAGGCTCAGATGATTCCTCAACTTTGACAAATTTGTTATTTGTAAAAACTAAGTCAAGGAAAGAGTTAGATATATTAGGGACATTATTTTTTTGTTCAAAGTGAAGGGCTCCGTATTGATCACCGATCTGACGGACTTTATCAGTAACAGAACCATCATATTCAAGGCCAGAGTCCCTATTAGACCATCTAATATTGGGTAAATTAAAATCACCACATACGATACCAAAATCAAATTGATAGGATTCCCATACATGATCCATTGCATCGCTATGTTTCTCATATCTAGACACATCAGAACAAGGAGGCAAATAAATGCCTGCTAAGAGTGCAGAAGCACCACCTGGGAGGGAAATGCGTACAAATACTTGTTCAACATTAATAACCGGAGAATAAACTATAGTAGGTCTGAACTTAGCATGTACAGCAATTAATGTACCACCCCCACGTAAACTAGAACTAGTATTAATATTCCTATCGCATCTAAAAGTTACATACCCATCAAGCCCCAGCTCAGCATCAGATATTTCTTTGGAAAGCCAGGTTTCGGTTAATATATATACATCGTGTGTGGATAGAACAAAGTTAGTATGAAGGTTAGACAATTTCGTACGTAGGCCACGCACATTTTGATAATAAATAGACAAAATATTATTTGAAAATTGAGACACAGGTTCACGGTTAAAAAGGTGTTGTCCTGAGGTAACCCTATATTTTAAATTATTAAGATCGGATAGGACCGAATTGAAGGTTGATTTAGCATTACGGCAATAAATACATTTAACATTAAGAAAATTATGATTAAGCATGCAATAAGAAGAAGAAAGTTGACTTAGGGTTGAGGTTGATGATTGGATCCGCTTCCAGGGACCCGGTTTTTTGAATTATCTTGTATAATTTTTGGCACACCATTGACATATCGTATCCGTAGACCAACCTCACCAGATTCAGCCCTGCGGTCAAGTTCGGAATGACAAGACCGAAGTAAACCACGTTCATAGACAGTTTTATCCCTGACAATCCGGAAATTAGTTGGGAACATAGCTCCACCTAGCTTAGCATCAGTGAAGCCGCGTATGAAGTTGATTGGTTCATCTTTGGATTGAAAGATAATTTTCAAAGGGCGAATATGATCTTGACGCACTTTTCCAAGACGGACAAGCTTCATGGTGGATTTAGGAATGATACTGCTATACTGTCCAAGAGTTTTTTCCAAAGCTATTTTATCGTCACTAATTCGTTGAGGAGCAGACGTGGAAGATGATTCCGATAGGCCGTATACCAAAGCATTGTGAGCACAAAGTTCTCTCTCAGAGACTTCTTGAAGCATTTGAGAAAGCGACGAATTAGAATGAACCACCGACTCAGTGCTTTCAAGGATCTCAACTTTATTTTTGAGGATGTTAATTTCATCCTTAAGTTGAGTGTTTTCAGCCTTGAGCTCGGCGGTGAGAGAAGAAAGCTTCTGTATATCACTTTTAAGCTCATTGAACTGTGATATCTGCACTTTGGATTGTGATTTGGTAGATTCTAAGAATTCAGTCCGGAAAGACTGGAGTGTTGACATAAGGTCATTAGTAGAAATAGAATTTACTGAGCTTTTTGAATTACTCCTAAGATTACGATTAGTAGTAGGTGCAGCTGGAGAAATGATATTTTGTTTAGATGTGCTCATTGTTAGAATGCAGCAGTACACTTTACGATCACCCTTTATAATAGAGAGATACAACCAAAACTACAGCAAAGCGAAAGGTGAAATATTATGTTAAGAAGGTAGGCTTAAAGAATGAAGTTGTGACGTCAGATGTAGCAAGGCGTACCTTATAACTACGCAGTGATCAACGAAAGCTGAAAACAGCTGATCGATAGCTACAAGCAGATGAAGTAATAAGATGATAAGCTTACGTGAGACCAGAAAGTTGCCGTGTAAGAATGAGTTCCAGAAGCGAAGTTGAAGCACGAACGGATCCGCAAACACGAACACGAGCAAACAGACAAAAGACAATCCAGTTGAGCACGAATCAAGCGAGTAAAGATGGCAGCGCAATTGGTTAACAAAAAAAACAAAAACGAACTTCAACACCACACTGTTATCATACTGTTCTTACTGTTCTTACTGGTTGCGAATTGATACCTTTTAGCTCATAGATTATTTTCTCATTTACCAATACCACTTTTCTTAATTCCGAAAGTTTGATTATATTTACATCGCTTCCTGTGTCCACTATTACTCTTACCTCCTCTTGGACACACTGTACAATTTTGAGCGAAGTTGAATTATTTACGAGTTTTGCCAAGAAGTGGAGGGTCGCTGCAGACTTATGACAGCGCTCTGAATCTGTTGAACTGAACAAGCGCTGACTGGGTTTGGCTCTTCCCCGTTTTTCGTACTCTGATTCTCCGTCGTACCTCCATTTGCACCCTGTTCCTTTTTGCTGTTGACATACTTTCTTTTCCGACACTCCTCAAGCTCATGTCCTTCCTTCTTGCAATACCTGCATATCATTACCGTTTTTACGGCAGTTTTTGAATTCGAATGTCCACTTTGCTAGCTGGCTTTAAATTTTGCTTGGTCCCCTTGTGATGCTCTGCAGTCCCTTGCGAAATGATTCATCCTGCCACACTTGAAACAGCCCTTATTTGATTTATTGCTTTTATTGTGGTTCCCTGGTTTAGATGTTCCGAGATTAGATTTCCCTGGCTGCGGTTGCTGATTTCTGGTATTCGTCTGCAGACTGAATAATTGTGTCTCCTTTGCCAAGTTTTCTTCTGTTTCCTCTTCCAAGCTAAAGCGTCACTTAATTTCTTCGGACCTCGGGCATTTAATAGTAGCCGATAAGATTCTGGTAACCCACTTATGAAGGCGTTGCGTACCTGATTGTGTAACAGCCTGTCAATATCAGTTCCATTCGAATATTCTCCTGCCTCCATTGTTGCATCGATCAAGTCATGCAATAATTGTTCCATTTTATCATGGTATTCTTGCACTCCTTCATCAGGGCTTGTTCGGTGGGTATGCCTGGTCATGGACTTTGCCCCGCGTTATCGCCATTACTGTGGACACCATGTGACCGTTCCGATATCTCCGGAGAGAGAAGCGTTATCGGTGTGTCGCCAACAGTCTCTTCCCCGCTGCATGTAGTCCGACACAGTGCCTTCAGTCGCAAGGTCGCCGGTCCTCAGCCGTCTTGGAAAATATCGTCGTTTTGTGTGTCCAATATATGTGCGAACCGGTGCGCCGTCGCCATCAATATCCGTTTGTGATTCCGTGCCCGTCCGAGCCGTTTTGCTCACCATAGTGCTCGCGTTCCGTCTGTCAATTGTGTACGACAGCTTTAGCACCTCGCTAAAACATTCGTTAAGTGTTTTTAGCCACCCGTAGCCCCTCGCATCACGCTGTTGGTCGTTCCGACTAGTAATTATGCTAGCACCTCGTACTGTCGCGGGTCACGCCCTCGCCGTGACCGTGTATCATTTTGGGTTTAAGATCACGTTCATAGTTCATACTCATCTCGTTCCCGCTTTTTTTGGTAAATCAAACTACCTACTTGCACGGTCGTCCGGATCCGCACGCGCACCGGCGCCCGCACGCGTAGTGAGTGTCGTAACCGTCTTTGTTACCCGCATGCGCATTAATTATTGGCCGTCGTCAGACGACAACGCACGCACGCACGAGTCGACCGCCGAACGCGAATCAGCTGTTCTCCACCGACACAGATTATCCAGGGGGAGGCAGGGTAATGTACGTTTATAATTGTTAAATTCTTCTATTTCATAGCATCAGTCTTAAAAACAAAATTCAAAAACGTGAAAGTCTTTTTTGTTTGTCTTTGGAGGAATTGTTTCTAATTTCAACCGGTTATTAGTTCCATTTATAATATTTGGAAATGAATTGAACGTTTGCAAAGATAACAAAGCTATTTCCGAATCCTCGTAAACGTTTAGAGATGGAAAATAAATTGCTGACAATACAGTTGAATTTCCAGTCAAACTTAATGTAATAAATGCATGCATTGTAAAACTTCAAGACATAAATTACCACAGTTAAATGTATTGAAATCTTGATAGTTGGAAAAGTTGTATACAATTTTGAATTGTCTGAAATAATGTTGTAATTCAATTGGTGGTGAAAAATCACCAAAGCTATCAAAATATACAACTTTGTCCTTATTTTTATAAAACGCTACCCAATGGCTTCCGTCGTCTGAAGAAATATCCAAGTTTAGTATACCACATTCAATCGTATGCGGTTTTTTAAGTAAGTTTTCACGTGAAAATACTCTACGGAAATGATTCATTTTCAACTTTCCAACATATTTTATAATATCTTGAGACGAAAGCGGTCTGTCAGGTAGCGTAATCATCAGTTTTTTTTAACCTATTCTTGTTTGAATTCATACCTCTACCTTTTTTTCTTTTTGAATTTTGATTCCATTATACACACTAGCACTTCCAGACATCAAACTACCAAGTGCTGAAAATCCCGCAAATATAGTTATTAAGGGAATTGCACCTCCTGATTGTCTCGGTACTAAAATCAGCCTTTTACCACCATTCTTTTTTTTTTGAGATTCTTTTTTTCTTCGCTGCTAGTATACCATTTGTTTTTATAGCACGTTTCCGTTTACAGCCCATACCTATTTTTCTTTTAGCTTTCATCGCATTTGTTACTGCTTACGCAACTAATTTCTCTTTTCTAGGTGTATCTTTTGCTTTAAATCTTTCCCAAGCACGATTTTCTAACACTTTATCAGCTTTATGTCTATCGTCTAAATTTTTACTCGTTGCATACACAATATCGTGATCACGACATGCAGCATCCTATATGTTTATTCCTTTATCACCACGATCTAGTCTCTTTTTTAATTTCGTGCCAGGACCACAATACTGATATCCTGAAACATGGGCTTCGAACGGGAGACTATTTATAAGGGAGTTTACAAATTCTTTACCAGACTTGTTTGAATTGTACTTACGAGTTGAACACGCCATCTATAACTGGTTATAAATTTAGAAAATCTAGAGTATTTATATGAAAATAATATGAATTTGATTGAACAGAAAGATAAATTAGATGTAATAAATGTAGATGTTCAGGTAGTAAAAAAAACCATCAAGACATGGTTCGTTATTACCCGATACTATATTAGTTGGTCCCAGTGGCTCAGGAAAAACAAATATAATGTATAATCTGATCACACATGCAAACGGGTTAAGATTTGAAAATATTTATTTATACTCGACAACCTCTAATCAGGACAAATAAGTTTTACTGAAAAAAATAATAGATGATATAAAAGGTGCTAATTTTTTAATATTTACAAGCGCTGATAAGGTTATAAAATCAAACTTAGCCAAGAAAAATTCTATTATCATTTTTGATGATGTGATATATGGTCCACAATCCGTAATCAGAGAATACTTTAGCATGGGTAGATATTCAGGTGCTAGCTCTGTATTTTATTTAGCACAGACATATTCTAAAATAACAAAACAGCTTACTAGCAAACTTCTTAATAATACTGAAACAAGATCATACAAATTTACGATCATTCGTCTACAGATATGGATTTCTCAGAATTTCGTAAAATTTCTCATTTATGTTGGAATCATAGTGATTATGGGTTTATGGTCATCGATAAAACATGGGAAATGAATGAAGGAAGTTATAGATGTGGTTTTCATACATTCATTAAAATAATTTTATATGCTTATACCTATATATAAATATACCGTCACATAGTTATTATCTGCATAGTGTTATCGGTAGTCATACGATACAGGTAGATTACTTTTATTATTTCCAATGAACAAACAAAAGGTTTTGTTGGAAAATTTAATAGCATCAAAAAAAAATATTAAACGAAAAATAATGGAAATGATCCTTGGTGTATAGATTCTGAAAACTATTTCCGTGAGGCATTTAAGCCAATAATTGAACCATTGAGTACACATGCAAAACAAAATGAAATATGTAACACACAGTCAACTGTACTAGAAAATAAATCAGAAACCTCATGCACTAGTGAAGATGATGATGATAACGAATTAAATTCACCATTTGAAAATTTTTTAAATAACCTTTCTAAATCAACACGTTATGATAAATTCTATGGTATGCATTATGATAAAGATAGTGATTCATATAAAATAGGAAAACATTCTGTAACTTTTAGCCACGGTAAATTACTGTTGCTTAATAAATATTATAAATTTATGACTATGGTCTTTATTATGTGAGAAGCAACCAAAAAAAACTACTATAGGTAGAAGATATAGAATCTTATTACAATATTTTGAAAACTTCTGGAGTCCATTTAAAATCAGATGGAAAACCTAGAACCTCAAGGTATCATAAATGGGTGACTGTTGTAAAACCATTGTATGATCGAATGAAAATGGAGGAAAAACAGTTTAACGAAGAAATAGATAAAATTAATGAGAATACAACTCCACGAATTAACTTAAAATCGTTTAACAATATCTTACCTTCTACTTCTTTTGGTTTATAACCTAACCCATTTGATTTTAATCATTCCTCAAGCAGTTTTTCACCTTCAGTCACCCTGTCTACAGATATGATTAATTTTACTTCAGCACCTGATCCCAAGACAGGTAGTGGTTTATATAAAGATGTATTACCTCAAACACAATTAGTTTATTATGACGATCCGAATGAGCTAGTAACTAGATTAAATCTTTTGACATCATCACAAAGTGTTGGTAATACTGGTGTTAATAATGAAATTATATCTATTTTAGAAGAACTGCGTGAGAGAAATATTATAGTATAATTACAACCTTAGAGAGTATAGCTAACGAGCTACATCAGCCAGCGAGAAGAATATTTCCTAGACGCAGTGTTGTAACACTATTTATTGACGACCTCTGGCAAGCTGATTTATTAGATATGCAATCTCATTCTAAAAAAAATTATGGTTTTAAATTCATATTAGTTGTTATAGATACATATAGCAAATATGTATTTGTGGAACCGCTGAAAAATAAATCAGGTAAAGAATGTACAATAGGAATGTTTAATATATTGAAAAAAGCAAATACAAAAATTTTACAGACAGATGATGGTACGGAATTTTACAATGCTCAATTTCAAGATTTAATGAAAAAATATAAAATTAAACATTACAGTTCATACAGTGTTATTAAATGTTCAATCGCGGAACGCGTGATCCAAACTCTTAAAAATAATATATATAAACATTTTACTGCGACAGGTACATGGAATTGGTACAATACAATATCAAAAATTATACATAATTATAATAATACAAAACACAGAACAATCAAATGTACACCTAGTGAAGCTCGAATGGATACAAATAGAATTAAATTTAACACATATATAAATTCTGTAACATTGTACAAACCAAAATTTAAAGTTAATGACAAAGTAAGAATATTTAAGTATAAATATATATTTAGTAAAGGATATACACCACATTGGACAACGGAAAAATTTCAGTTTCAAAAGTTTTACAGACAAATCCAGTAACTTATCAACTAAAGGATGAATCAGGCAGTATAATTTTAGGTGGTTTTTATGAACAGGAAATTAAATTAACTGATTTTCCAAACCCCTTTCTCATTGAACGTATTGTAAAAAAAAATGGGAATAAAATGCTTGTTAAATGGTTAGGTTTTTATTCAAGTCAAAATTCATGGATAACATCATCAGATATTTTTAAATAATTTTTTTTATGTATAATATTTTGTTAATTTTTTTTAAAAAAAATAAAAAAATTTAAGTTTTTTTTAAGTCGAATTAATTATTTCACATGATCTCCTGATCCTCAATAGCCTGTTTGGTTAACCTAATGTATCCACAATCGATAAAAAAATAAAAAGCGTCAACTAGTGGTAAATGAATCAATGAAAATAATAATACTATTGTATTTTGTTCCGCTAGATAACGCTTTTTATGCTAAACCATTAACTTTATAGTGACCATAAGCTAAAGTATTTATTCCGTCATCCATTATATAACGTTTATCATCGTTTGCACTTAGAACAAGTTTGTTCATTGTTTTCGAATGAACAACATGTTTATTTGATTGGATAAAATTCATTTTTCTATGAGTTTGTTCATCCTGGAGAGTTCTATGGTTTATAAAAGCGTTTTGTATATCCATATATTTATTAAATTGCATGTGATTTTCAATTATATATTTCTTTACAACTTTTGCCTTTTTTTCAGTACCATCTACTGTTTTATAGGCATATAAGTTCGGTCTTAATGATACGAATTCTTTAAATATAATTGATTTCATTTCGTTCTT